TTGAGTTTTTACCGCATAGGGGGTAACACCCCCTACTATCCAATATAGTTGACGGATGTAGGCGAGCGTAAGTCGGGCTCCCCCGTGTAAAGTCGCCGCATGATTTATTAATAACTGGGTAAGACTTCTTTTTCTAGGAATAATTGCGGGATTTTTCATTCCAACAGGTAAGTTCATTTTGTTCAAGCGCCCGCCCATACGCATAATGCCCCTTTCGTCTAAATAAGGGTATAATTTACAAATAGTACTTTTAGTAGTTAAAAGTGAACCTTTAAGTAATAAATCGCATTATAGATTGAATTCAAGTTGTTGAACATTTCTTATTATTATTGTCCTAGCGTTATCAATTTCACGTATTGTTAAGTATTTGTGAGGCATTCGTTTAACGGTGTCAAGTTTCTTCATTGTTGTAGCGCTATTAAGTGCATTTGTACTGAATTGCATTAACCAAGTGATAATGCGCACAACTTTACTCAATGTACTGTGTTTATTTAATAAATCGTTTATAATATTCTCTGTTTGGCTTAGAGCTGGCACTTTACATTTTTCGTCGACCGTTGTTGTAAATAGACAACGTTGTTTTTCGGGTTTACTCGTCAATGTTTTCAACATATCTGGACCGGCCCACTATAACTGATTGTTTACAAGTTGTTTCGGATATAAGCCTCTTTTTGCACAATCGGCGGGATAGTTTCGATTCGATGTAGGACCACTGGGATGCTGGTACCACTTGTGTGATTTTGATGACACGGTTTTCCACATATTTTTCGTATTTAGATGCGTCTCCATGTAGCCATGCTAGGACCACTTTTGAGTCACACCATGCCCACACAGTTATGTTGTGTGCCGGAAGAGACTCAGTGACTTTATGAACCAGTTCCGACAAGAGTAAGGCACCGCTTAGTTCAAGGCGTGGTAGAGATAATTTTTGTGCGAGTGGGGCAACCCTAGTTTTCGCTACAAGCAAACTTACTACAAATAACTACTGAAATTTGGTCTTCGTTCAGTTGTTCTAAAAGCTCGACACAATTACTAGACCATTTTCTTAGGTTCACACCTCCTCGTTGTTAAAGTGTTATTAAATCCGTTTGTAGTTTTTTGGCAGTTTCGAGACAGTTATGCCCTAATGCTAGTCAAATCGTCGACATAGAAATCGTTGCGTAATAGGTTGGCGGCCTCGGGGTATAAGTGACCATCATCTGTCGCCAACTGTTGCAAACTTCGTAATGCCAACCATGGCGCGCACTTTGTGCCGTATGTTACTGTACATAGAGTGTATTCTTGTAATTGTTCAGAGGGCGAGTTCCTCCATACAATTTTTTGAAGAGGTTTTTGGTCATCATCAATCCATAAACAGCGGTACATTTTTTCTATGTCCGCCGTAAATGCATATCGGTAAGTTCTCCTCTTTAAGATGAGTGCTTGTATATCCCTTTGCAGGTTGGGGCCTTTCTTCATTAGCCTGTTTAAACTTTTGCCACTGGAAGTTTTCTGTGAAGCGTTAAACACCACTCGTAATTTGGTGGTTGTAGATTGGTCCCGTAAAACGCCGTGGTGAGGTAAATAATGTTCAGATTGGGGTGATGTTGTTTTAGACGTCGGCTCCATATGTTGTAATTCTAAGTATTCATTCATAAAGCTTTTGTACATACTTAATACTAGTTTATTTTTTTGTAGTCGTTTCTCTTGTTTTAAAAATTTTGCAATGGCAGCTGACTTTGAGGATCCAAGATGTTGTCCATAGCTCTGGACCATAGGCATTTTTACTGTATATTTGCCATCAGAACATCTCTTAGTTGTTTGTTTGTAGTAAATTTCACATTGATCGTCTCGTTGTATGTCTTGAGAACTTTGAGCAATATCTTCTCTCCCAGTATCTCGACAGATCAGACGTGTTTGCTAAAGTTAGGTGACAGTTGAAGGTTTTTAGTCTTTTTAGTTTCCCGCACAAAATCCAACCCAGACGAGTTTGCTGGGCGATAGGTGAGTGCTGGTCACCTTTCAAGACTCCGTCTAAGATGATGTCTGCGTAAACGTCAGCTCCCAGCACGAGGTCTATTGAGCTGGACACGTTATAGTTAGGATCTGCTAGCTTTAAGTTTTGTAGATGTGTCCAGCCTGTGCCCTGAAAAGAGCAGCCGGGCAACTTATTAGTTAAGTTAGTCAGTACCAATGCTTTTACCTTGAACATGTATTCAGAGTGTATTGATTTGCAGTTAAGATGTAGAAGGCCCTTGCAGTTACGTGACGTAGATCCGATTCCAGTTATAGCGGCGTCAAATTTGTTTCGAGGCAGGCGTAGCAGTTGAGCTGCACTTTTCGATTTTAAGTTTGTTAATAAGACTTCAGTGCTGTCAGCCGCCAAATGGTGAGCGCCGGGTTGAGTTGACGTTGAAGGACCTGGATTCATATTTCTGTCATGCTTCCTTTCAATATTTGGTTCATTGTAGGTAAGTTTATTAATATGTAGTAATGTATGATGTTTCAGATTACATTCGCGGCATGTTTTCCTCGAATTACAAGCGGCGCTGCCATGGCTGTATAGACAATTTTCGCAAAACTTCAGTTTCGCAACTGTTTTATTTCGTTGCGCAATGTCCATTTCGACGAACTTATCACATGTCATTAACACGTGTTCCTTGTGACAAAGAGGGCATTGCCCATAGGATGCGTGGAAAATTTTAGAGTAGCTAAACTTTTTCGTGTCTTGTTGTTTATAAAAAAAAATTTGGGCTTATAATTATGGCTCCAGTTCTTGTTGTTTGGCCTTTGAGTTTTGTTTTCAGTAGAGTCTTTAAGACAGCTTTTCGCAGTTTCGTAAGCGAGAAATTTGACTTCTAGGAAGCTAAGGAATTCCTCTAAGTTCGGCAATTCCCTGTTATTCTGCGTTTCCTTTGTATATTCGTTAAGTGTCGTCGAATCCAAGTTTTGTGACATATTGTAAACAATCATTGGTCCCCAACTCGATACTTTAACTCCCATGTTGCTAAGGCCGTTTAAGCACTCTATTATTACATCATTCATGCGTTTCAAGTTGTTGGCGTTGGGTTGTTGAATAGTTGGTAAATGCTGCATGGTACTCATAAACGATGTGAACTGAATTCGACGGTTGTTATGTCGGTGTGATAATATCTCCCAGCAGGAGTCGTAGTAGTCCGCACTAATAGACAGGTACTGAACGAGACGTTCTGCCTCACCCTTCAATTTTGTTTTTAAATGCATCATTTTCTGCGCCTTAGAAATGCTCGGGTTGTTGTTAATAGTTTCGAGAAAGATGTCCTTAAAAGTAATCCAGTGAATGTAGTTTCCAGAAAACTGTGGTACATCGATTTTCGGTGTGGAATACTGGTAATGTATAGTAGACCAGATTTTGCTGTTTAAATCTCGTTTGATATTGTTGTACTTCTCTTCAATGGCTTTGTATTTTTCGTTGTAATTTGTGCTCAAGCTAGAGGCTTTAAGTTCGTCTTCTAGCTCCCAGTGTATTTTTTTTATCAATTCCCATTTAGATTTCAAGGTGGTCAGATGTTCTTCGAACTCCCACTTCTCAGTGAGGAAATTAATATTTACCTTTGACATAGCCTTGTTCAAAGCCTTAAAATTACATTCTTGTTGAGTTATCAGCTTTTTTACGTCGTCTTTAATGTCCTCGTCCATAAGTCAAGTTAAATCAAAATCTAAAGGTTGTTGCTGTTGTGTCCGTTGGAAATCCAGTAAATCCAACATATTCTTCTTTGTCGAGTCGTACAAGTTTTTAGTTTTCTCGTAGACACAGTTTGTTAAAATATCCGACGTTTTTGTTTTCAATATTTTGTAACAGTATTTGATGTTGTTCATCAAAGTTCACCCATAGTTTTTCTAAGATAGCCAGACGTTTTTCCAGGTAATCCACAGTTTTTCTGGTTACACTGTCTTTTTTATAGTTGGTGCACAAGGTTTTGATGTCTTCAAAGACGCCGACTTGTTTAGTAAGTTGGAGTTCCATGGTAAATAGTTAAGTTTGTACAAGTTATGTAGTTAAGATAAGTTAAGTAGTTTTTAGTTAGATGTAGTTAAAGTATTAAGTAGGTAAGTACCTTAAGTTAGGTGGATTTCTTCCAAGATGGCAGTTCCCTGGATACCAAGAAGACTGTAGTTATAGTTCCGTAGACCCGCTAGTCTTCAGTTTTAAAGTTTCTTCGTTACTCGTCTTGTCAGCGAGCTCCGTAGAAACCTGAAGCTTATGATGCTCAGTAAATCTGTGCCCTCGTGATGACACTCGACTCTCAATCTGTACTGGTGAGACCCGCTTGTGGGAGACCAGCCAAACCGATTTGCTATCACACTTTATTAGACACAAGATCACTCAGCATCCGGCTCGAAGGACCATTCAATGTACAGTGTCGTGAACCGTACACTACTATTAGTTTGTAAGTTTAGGTGTGAGTGTGCTGGTGAGAGGAAACTCTTAACGTAGTATTTTAAAGTTTATTGTTCACAAGTTACGTAAAATGATATAAAGTGATTCTTACAACGGAGTGAACGTTACGAAGTTAAAGTGCACACTGATTCAAATTAATTATTACGACGGACGGAAAGACCGTTTTGCGTAATCAGCTAAATAATATTTTTGCCTAAGTGTACGTAAACCGTACAATTTGTATATAAGCGCGGATAACTACACATCTTGTTGGGACATTTTAAACAACCGTTATAACAATAAAAAACTAATATTTACTTCTTAGATGAATATATTATTTAATTTGCCCAACATACAACATCACATTTATTAGATAAGAGCTGCGTAATTACGATGTCAACTTTTTTCAAAACTACCTTCGTATTTTTATAAATTTTTATTTATAAAAATACGAAGGTAGTTTTGAAAAAAGTTAACATACAACATCACATTTATTAGCAGTCGCACGCGGCGGATCGTAGCGAGCGGTCGTTTTGATAAGAGCTGCGTAATTACGATGTCAACTTTTTTCAAAACTACCTTCGTATTTTTATAAATAAAAATGAGTGGAAATTCGGCATACTTAATTATTTCGAGTATTAATAGTAAAAGTAACGGGGAGAGTGAGCAACAAGTAATGGAAACAATAGAATTTAGTAGTGAAAAAGTTAATACGCAGAGTGAAACTTATGTTATAAAACAAGTGCCTGAGAAGAGAGTGCGACAAGATAGCGAGGAAATTTTAGATGATAGTGACGGTGAGTATATAACTGTAAGAAGAAACTCAAAACGAATGCATCGAAATTTTTCAAGTAATAATAATTGTGGGCGTATGTCAGAGACTGAAGTTTCAGAATCAAGATGTGACATATTTGATGTTTTTATTACGTCCAAAGATGTGTTGCCCAAGCAAATTGGTTTGGCCAAACTTTAAAAAAACCGAAGGCATTTTAGGAATACCAAAAGTCAGGTATAAAAACCCCTCTAGAGTATGTATACAATTCGACAGCAGGGTAAACGCTGAAAAGTTACTATTATGTGAGAAAATTAAAGATTTGGGCTATAGATGTCACTTAGCTCAAGAAGTGAATTTATCATATGGTGTGGTTAAAAATATCGAGCTAGATATTACAGAAGAAGAATTAAATAAGATATTTACTTGCGAATACGATATAATCTCTGTAAAAAGATTGAAATGTTCCACAGACGAAGGTAAATGGGTGGAAAGCGAAACTGTTCGTATTGGTTTTAAAGGCTCAACAATACCCCCATTTGTTGAAGTTTATGGATGTAAACTGAAGGTCGAATCGTACACGTTTCCGGTAACACAATGTTCAAACTGCTGGAAGTTTGGGCACCTACAAAAGTAGTGTACTGTTAAAAAAAGTGTATGTCCAAAATGTGGTGATTTTCACGCTAATTGTGAAACTACAACTTTTAAATGTGTCAATTGTAAAGGTAGACATATAGCGTTGAGTAAAAAATGCCCAATTTTTTTAAAAGAAAAAGAAATTCGTCGTATCATGGCATCAGAAAACTGTACTTACAAGAGTGCTCTATATAAATATCTTAAAGAGACACGGGCTGTGGTAAATGTATTACTACACAGGAGGGAGCACACTGGAGGAAACGTAAGAAACTCAAGCGAACAAGCAAGCGATCTCGATGATATACAACAGTATTCAAAGCCGACTGTAGAACAAACATCAAAACCCACATTCAGAGATATTTTAATGAAAGATAATCGCAAATCCAAGAAAAAGGATGAACAAAGTAAAGATAAAACACAGAATAAAAATAGAAAACATAATAGGAAAGATACATCTGAAAACTCCATGGATTTTCAAGAGAATAATATAGAAAAAAATACAGGAACTGGAGATATGTACAACCGGAATCCATGGCAAAGAGAAAAAGAAATAAAAGCACTTCATTTTGAGAAATACTAAAACAGATAAAAAGCACACTAATTTCAAACAAGAGTCTAGAGGAGAAAATAGTAGAAGCTACACAATTGATTTTAGAAGAGCTTAAACACTTATTAATTGATCAAATTATAAGTGGGAAATGGTTTAAGTCAATGATGTTAAATATCTTTAATGGATAATACAAAACAGCAAGCACCATTAAACATATTACAATGGAATTCCCAAAGTTTGAGACCTAAATTATTGGAATTTGAATGTCTTTTGAATCAAGAACATGTACATATGGCGATTATTAGTGAAACTTGGATGGAAACTGGTTCTCGTGCCCATATAAGTAACTACAATATATATAGAAGAGATAGGCTTGACTCATATCGCGTAGCAATCATCTGCCACAAATCATTAAATACTCAAATATCATCATTTACTTTGAGAAATACAGGTAATCCTTAGAAAATATTGTAAGTATATACTGCCCTTCTAATGTCAGACTCACGCAGTCAGACTGGGATTCACTTTTTGGTGCGTATTCTCATAGATCTTTAATAGCAGGGGATTTTAATGGCCACCATACTAACTGGTCATATAAAAATGACACCAGAGGTATACAACTTATGGATTCCTCTTTAGAAAATGCCTTCATTTCCTTAAATAATGGTAGGCCAACAAGAATAAAATAAGTTGATGGAGTACTACAGCAATCATCTCCTGACACAACGTTCGTGTCATCAGATATTGCAGTAGACTGCAAGTGGAATACTACCAATGAAACCTTGGGCAGTGATCACTTAATAATCAAAATACAATTATTGGTATCCAAGCCTAAACGAAATTTCATTAAAAAACGTAATCTTAAAAAATCCACATGGTCCTTATATAAAGACTTTCTAAACGAAAATTTTACATGTTCTGTAGTTGATCCCAATAATATCCAAGTAGGTTATGACTTTCTAGTTAACCAAATTAATTATGCCGCTGACAGAAGTATCCCTTTAGTAAAGTTATGTACTGACCCTCAGTCTAAATTTAGACCAAGACCTTACTGGAATACCGGTCTGTCTGAATCAATTGCTAGACGAAGATTGGCACTTGCCAAATTCAGGCGTAACCCAACCCCGAGTAATTTAGATATCTTACAAAAACGAATCGCAGAATCAAAACGATTATTGAAGTTAGCTAAATGACAAAACTGGCGTGGCTTTTGCAGCGGCATAAATGAATCTACATCAGTATCGGATATGTGAAATCGTATGCGTTGGATGAAAGGACATAATACAACTAAAGCATATGCTCCAAAAGAACAAATTGAAGAATTACTATACAGCCTCGCACCTGATTTTGTGACACCTCCAATGCCCGAAATTTCATAAAACTAAGCAAAATCTACAAATATTATGCATATAAGTTATAATGTAATACAAATATAATTACACATATATATAGAAATAAATATAGATATAAATACATATTATTTATGTTTTTACACTGTGAATGCTTGAATTTAGGAGGTGTACCATTTGTTAAGTCACTTCCGCCATCTCCTCAAGAAGGTAATTATGTACATTCCTTTTAAATGCGAAACGGTTTGTGGACATCCTGATTTCGAGTGGGAGCGCATTCCAGAGCAGAACTACTTGTACAAAGAACGAGGAGTTCACGAAGTCTGAGTTGTGGGGGGGACACAAGAGAAGCAAATTATTCGTTGATCTAAGATTTCTGTCGTGATTAGAGGACAAGAAACGGATGTAAGGATCGAGGTAGGTGGGTGAAAATGGGCAGTTGAGGAATGAAAAGAGAGAGGTCAGCGCTCGCTGATTGCGACGCAAGCGAATAGGTAGCGTACCATTTTAATTGGGAGCGTAAAGCAGACACATGGTCATACTTGCGAAGATTGAATATGTATCAAATGCAGTTATTGAGAAGACGGTCTAGCTTATTGAGGAGGTCTGCATTCAGGTCGAAGTAACACACATCACCATAGTCAATTATAGGAACAATTAGGGACTGCATGAGAGAGGTTTTCGTTTTAGTGGGCAAGAAATTTTTAAGTCGGTATAGTGTTCGCAGGTTACCCGTTACTTTTTGGCTCACATGAGTAACTAGAGCACGCCAATCTAGGGTTGAGTCGATGAGCAGGCCTAGGTCTTTGACTACCGGGCTCCAAGGTATAACTGAGCTGTTGAAGATGACTGGTGGGACTGATGTAGTATCCAATCTTCCAATCATATGTTTGCTGCCGACTACGATCGCCTGGCATTTGGTAGGGTTTACTGACAATCCGAATCTGATCGACCAGGATTTTATAAAATCAAGGTCCCTGTTGACGTCATCGATGGCTCGCGTTATATCCTCCACCCTTGCTTGTGAGTATAGCTGCAGATCATCGGCATATAGGTGATACGCACACTGAAGGTGTTGAGTTATGAGGTTGATAAAGATAGAGAATAAAAGAGGAGATAAAATTCCGCCTTGAGGGACTCCAGCGTGGAGATCGCAAAAACTCGACGACACGTTCTGAACGCGAACACACTGCTGGCGCCCCTGAAGATAGGTGGAGAACCATTCCAGTGCCTCTGGGGACACCTTAAGGTATCCAAGGATTGATAGTAGAATTTCGTGACTGACGGTATTAAAAGCGTTAGAGAAATCAACTAAGACCAGAACTGTAACTTTGGTGTCTTCCATGCCCTTTCTAATATCCCCAGTCACTTTGAGGAGGGCGGTAGTAGTGCTGTGGCCAGGTCTAAAACCGGACTGTAGGGGACTTGGCAGTTTTTGTCGGTACACAAATTCTGAAAGCTGCTTGTATACACAGGCCTCGAGCACTTTAGACAGGAAGGGAAGAATAGAAATAGGTCGGAAGTGTTCGGGTAATGAAGGGTTATTTTTTTTGGGGAGAGGGATGATGTTCGCCTTACGCCACAGAGAGGGAAAGGTTCCTGAGTCTGGAGAAAAGTTAATTATGTGAGTAATTACCGAGAGAGTATAGTCCAGGATGGTGACAATCACGCGTCGGCTAATGCCATCATGCCCCACAGCATTAGAGGGGATAGATAGGATAATCTTCTTGATGTCCCCAGAAGGCACCGGAGAAAATTCGAATGAGTCGATACTGGGACTGGTAAGACCAGATATGTAGTTCAGCGTTTGATCCTTGGTTTGTAGATCCAGCGTGGGTGTGGATGAGAAATGACGATTGAGATCGTTCAAATCAATTGTGTTCTTAAACTCAGGTTGTTGTTTATTGCCAATACCTAGAGTACCGAGAAATTTCCAGATACTGGATGAAGAGGAGGACTCTATGTTTTGGAGAATGTGTTGGCGTTTAGAGTTGCGTATCACCTGATTACACCGATTCCTTGCAGTCTTATAACTGTTCCACTTATCCTCGCACCGGTCTCTCTTAAATATAAGAAAGGACTGGTCCCTCCGCCTCATTGCTGTTCGGACCTCCTTTTTTTTTTTTTTTTTTTTACGTGTGGAAATCCCCTCGGACCGTCACCACAACGGGGCTCTCGTTCGGCGGGGCGGTGTGTCGGACTCGAACCGACTAAAACCACACGGTGTGCCCTCTTTGCGCTTCCAGTTTAGGAAGGGTCCAGGTACCTATCTCCTTCTGGACCCCTCCCAGCGCCGGCCCGCTCCTGGCGCGGGCTCGGTCTCAGTGGACCCTCTCTTTAGGCGGCGTCCGGCACACGCGGACGCCGCCCCCTCGCGGCTGGCCACCTAATGCGGGTGGAGGGGAGAACCCATCCCGTCCACCCGCGGCCACACTCAGGGCGGCATGAGGCGCAGGTGAGCGCGCGAGCGGATCAGGTCCGAGTGGAGGTCGTCCTCCCAGGCCTTTTTCGATGCCTCCTTCTGCGAGATTACCTCCTCGCAGAAGGTTGCGACCGCGGTAAAACAACTGTCGCTACCGGCCATGGAGCGAATTACGGCCGGTAGCGAGAGATCTGCTCCGATGACTGCAGTGAGGGCCCCGCGCTGCTTCGCCCATGCGGGGCAAACCGCCAGCGTGTGTTGGGCCGAATCCTCACCGCAGTCGCAGTGGTGGCAGGCGGGACTCGATTCCCTCCTAGCGACCGAGTACAGGTACTTTCCGAAGCAACCGTGCCCGGAAAGCACCTGCGTCAGCCTGAAGGAAAGGGTCCCGTGCTGCCGCCCTGCCCACTCGGCGATGACCGGCTGGAGAGCCTCCACGGCGGCGAAGCCAGCGCGTGGAGTCTCCAGCCGGAACGACCATCTCACCATAGTGCCTCGGCGAGCGGCTTCGCGCCACTCGCGCACTTCTTCGGGCGGAGGGCGAAATCCGCTCTCCGCCTGGAAGTCAGCCACTCGCCGATAAACTTCGGCGAGCACTTCCGCCTCCAAATCCCACGGGGGTGTTCCGGCCAAGGCGCAAGCCGCCTCGGTGGACACCGTGCGGTATCCGCGTATGGCTCTGACCGTCAATATCCTCTTAGGGCGCCAGAGGCGCGCCCTATTCGGGGCGGTCAGAGCCGCCACCCACACCGGTGCACCATAAAGCGCCATGGACCGGACAACCCCCGCGTACAGCCGCCTCGTGGGAACACTGGCCCCGCCCAAATTGGGCAAAAGTCGCCCTAGGGCGGAGGCAGTGTCCACCAGCTTCGGACCAAGCTGTCAGAAGTGCTCGTCGAAGAGCCACCTACCGTCTAGGACCAGACCCAGGTACCTCATCTGGGCCCGGACCGGTACGAGGACCGAGTCGACCTCGATTGAGGCGCCGGCGGGTGGACCACGACGGAGCCCATGAAATAATAGGGCCTCCGTCTTATCCAGGGCCACCCGCAAACCCAACGCCTCAATGCGCCCGACCACCAGGGAAACTCCCGTGGCGGCCAGGCGCGCCGCCTCCTGGAAGTTAGCCCCCCGGGCCGTGAGCAAGGTGTCATCCGCGTAGCAGATTACACCCAGCCTGGGGGGGAGACGCCCTCGTAGGGCCCAGTCGTACCCGATGTTCCACAGGAGAGGTCCTAGGACAGACCCCTGCGGAACACCGCACGACATATCCCTGCGTCTCAAGACGCCATCTCGGTCCTCGTACATGACGGTTCACTCCTCAAGATAGTCTGCCACCAGCCGCCTCAGGTACTCCGGCACTCCGTGGTAGCGGAGCGCTTCCCTGATGCAGCTGAATGGCAGACTATTGAAGGCGTTGGCGATGTCCAAGGACACCGCCAACACCACTCCGCCGCAGCTCACGGCTTCCTCGCTCACGGCCCTAAGGCGCATTACGGCATCGATCGTCGAACGCCCCTCTCGGAAACCGAATTGGGCGTCCGACAGATCGGGGCCAACCTCGCAAAGGTGCCGGACGATGCGGGCAGAGAGCACCCTCTCAAAAAGTTTACCCGCCTCGTCCAGCAATACGATAGGCCTATAGGCCGCGACCGAATCAGCAGGCCGTCCCGGCTTCTGCAGCAGGACCAGCTTCCCGCATTTCCAGCGCTCAGGGAAGCGTCCGGACGCCAGGCTAGCGTCCAACACCCCCCTGAGGTGGTCCGACATGTAGTCGAGGGCTCGGGCCATCACTCGGGCTGGAACCCCGTCCGGCCCGGGGGCGGTGTTCTTGGATCGAATCCGTAGAACAGCCGCCCCCAACTCCGATTCCCTGACGGGCGGAAAATCACCCTCGCTGCCTCCGTCGTCTCCGGCTGATGCAGCCATCGAAGGGGGCGTGTGCTCTGCCCGCTGCGGGAATAGGCCCTCGACCACCTTCTGCAGGAAGGGCGTTCGACGATCGATGCCGTAATGCGCCTTAGGGCCGTGACCGAGGAAGCCGTGAGCTGCGGCGGAGTGGTGTTGGCGGTGTCCTTGGACACAAAAGGTCACAAATCAAAGAGATCGGCCACAATTTTATTGGTATTTCTGTGTTCTGTTTAGGAATTAATTACGTAAGCTACAGCCGAAGAAGCAAAAAGAAACGAAATCTATTTAAAACTTATTTTAATTATAATAAAAAATTACAATCTAAAAATATGTATGCTCAAGTTCGCTGTTTGAACAAAAGTGAGTTTCCGGTAAAGCGGGGCTTCGTTAATCGGTGGTGTCGTGTCGCCGTCGCGCTGGCGCCATTGGTCGGGGTGCTGACAGTGCATTCACACGTACTGGTACAAGTTGCTGACGGTGCAAAGCGTGTAACCGCTGCTACTAGGTCGCGATGTGCATTTTAAATATATTTTACATATTTTAGGTATATGTAATTCCTCCCCCCTCAGTCTGGCAACTATTTTTCGATTTTGTGCGAGAAAATGGCTGTCTGAGATGGTGTCGTAAAAGTATGATCTCCGGCATCCTCTGTGTGCTTTTCTTCGTTAGAATCTATTGCTTCTTCAATGTTTACTTATCTGCGTAGCTTGTAACGAAGGATTAGATATATAACGACGAATATAATTACGCCGGATAGTACAACATAAAAGGGTAGCGTTGTATGATAGTAATAAGATTCATCTAATGAGTCCATCTGTAGAGGAGTACGGAGCGATGCCTTTTCTTGGATACTATGGAGTGCTTTCAGGTCTATAGATGTAAGATGTAAGTGTGGAGTCCCTTGTATTACGGTGTCTATACTCTGTTCTATCTTCATAATTTTCAGTGGCTGCCCTTGTATAGCATCATCTGCGTTTAAAATAGTGAATTCAGGTGATTGCAGAGAGCAGTACATTATATGCTTCTGTGCCACAGCTGAGTCGAACCTTTGCTGCTTTTGGGAACGATATGATGTAGCTGCGGTCATCCAGTTGCTCTACAGTTTCTTTTAGTAAATGGACCGTCGAAAATATGCAGGTTTCTTCAATAGTTTGCCGCAAGATGATCTGTTGAATGCAGTATCCTCCTGTGGGAAGTCTCGTCACAAAGGGACAGGTGATGGTACTTCGGGCATTCAGCCTCTATGTACACAAATTCTTTTCTATTAATTGCTAGGAAAGGAGAAGGTGGGATAATTACTTGGTGAAATCTATTGGGAGCTAAGGATAATCTATACAAGTCATAAGTACTCTTTGAAACTATAGGGAATTTAAAAATTATTACTATCTGTTTATTAACGAAGTATGAACCGGATCTTATCAAGGTATAATAGTCCCTTAATTCTAAGTCCACTACTTGTTCCGGGCCGTAAACTAACCTAAGCTTGCTTAACATTAACCTAAGTACTTTAAGACTAATCATCGAATGATGAGTCGTGGTTGTACGAGTAAAAGCTAACATATTCTCTATATTAATTAATCCATTTAATACGTCATTAGCGTCGGTAATGATTGTTAAGGTTTGGGTGAATCTACCGTATCTGTGGAAACTATTCTCTCTATAACTATCTCTTTCAGACCAGGATTGTAAGGTATTGTTAATTTCTATTTGATTTTGGACTAGTCTTTCTAACACACTGCTCTGTTCTTTCATCCAATCCTTATTCAAGCTAGCGCGGTTACTAAGTTCTGAATTAATTTTATTTTGGTTATTTTCTAAAACTTCAAGTGCTTTATTATATCTTATAGCGTCCTGATAATCTAAATTTCCTGTTATACTTTTAACTAATGATCCTAGTCCGTCCATAAGACCTCTTTTTATCCTGCTAGGTTCTAAAGTCTGCAAGTGTTCTGATATATGATTCGTTTTATTCATTAGGTAGCGAATTTGGGGCTCATATACCGTGTAAGTAGTGTTAAAGAGTCTATGTTCAAAACTTAGTAGTTGTCCTCTTAGTTCGTTGATTTCATGTTCAATTCTGTCCAAGTCAATGTACTGTAAGAAGGTATAGTGATGGGTTGTCACTCTTGCAGGTCCGAGTTTAAACGGTAAAAGTCCTGGTCCATTGTCTAAGTTATCAAGTCGTATCTCCTGTGTTAGTGCCAGTTTTAGTGTTGTCATCAGTAGTAGGGTCACTCTGTAACAATTTTACATTTTTGGTTGGTCGTTTCAGGCGTGTTTTTGCTACGGGGCCGCGTTTTTTAGACGTGTAGATATGGATTGGTAAATCTGCGAGGACTTTATCTTGCGTGTAACGGGAAGCGATTTTCTGTCTAGTTGCCGCAGGGTTCCTAATAAATACCTGCTGCTGAGGTTGGTATTCGATTTCAGGTTCTCTCGTCTTATTATGGTTGCTCGTAAGGGCTGTCAGGTTGTCGAAGGCCATATTATTAACTATGTCATAAACTAATTTCATCAGGTCACGATGTGTCTGTATATACGTCTGTAATAAGTGTTGTGTCACATCGATGTCCGTCGGGTCTCTGGGGTCGAAGTGTCCTATTAGTAAGTGGACCCTAGTCGACATCTAGTGAGGCTATGGATGGAGCTATTTTACGCGATGATAGCATAAGGTATGAGATTTACTATTGATTCATTTTTCTGTTGTAACTTCAGTATTCTAAGATGCTCAAGTATGGTTGAGTGGAATCTCTCGATATTACCGTTATCGTTTGGCGAGTGGGGTTGGGTCTTATGATGTATGATTTTATGAAGCTTTATGAATTCCGCAAAGATTTGGTTCGTAAATTCAGTGCCGTTGTCTGTTACAATTGTTAGTGGGAGCCCATGGTGAGTGCAAAATGTAAGAAAGGCCTGTACAATACTAATCGCTGTGCTATCCTTTAAGGGATAAGCCTGTCCGTATTTCGTAAAAACATCTACGAAAGTTATGTATTTTTCAGTCTGTATAGTGAATAAATCAGCGTGAATGATTTCCAGAGGTTAAGTCGCAGGTGGTACAAGATTTAACTGAGGTTTGATCGGGTTTCTATCGTATTTGCTTTGCCCGCATATACTGCATTCGTTAATAAATTTAGTAATGTGATCTTTCATTCTCGGCCAGTAGTACTTCCGGGACAATGCTAGATAACATTTATTTATTCCTCTATGGTTAGTCTTCCCTTCATGATAATGTTTAATTATTTCCTGTTGTTTCAAACATTCTTTTATATTTTCTACGTCTACTTTAGTTAGGACGAGCTTCATTGCAGAGCTTTTAAAATTTTCCTGTATAATGGGTATCATTTTGTACATGGCTAATGGGGGTGTTATCAACAGGGCGGTTTTAACTTTGGGGTTGACATACTCTTTGATGGAATTTACAATATCACTCTCGGGGGAGGATTTGAAAATCTGTGTCGATACCTTAACATGGGATTCGAATGGTTTAGATACTACAGGTCGCCTAGTAATTTCGTTAACTAAAGTCATACATAGTTGCCTATGAAATTTGTTAAGGGGTTCATCTGTGATGGGAACTTCTTGAATCGGGTTTTCGTGACTAGTATGGGCGGTGCTGGTAGCGGAATTATCTATACTAGGTGGTCTCTCGGAGGGGTTTACAGTAATGGAGCTAATTTCCTCGTTATGAATTTCAATTCTGGATAAAGCATCTGCATTTGTATTGACTTTTCCTTTTTTATATATTACTGTGAAATCATACTCACTGAGCTTCAATCTCCATCTAGTGAGTCTGGAGTTGGGTTCTTTAATATTCATAACCCATTGAAGGGGTTTATGATCTGTTATTATTTTAAATTTTCTTCCAAAAAGGTAAGGTCGGAAATACTTGGTTGCCCATACTATTGCGAGCAATTCTTTTTCTATTGTACTGTAGTTTATTTCACTTTCGTTAAGGGTACGAGAGGTGTACGTGATTGGTTTATCGGAGCCTACAGGTCCCTGGGATAAAACGGCACCTAGGGCAAAGTTGGATGCGTCGGTCGTCGCAGTTTCTCTACTTAACAACTTTGGTAAAATGTTAGAAAAAGTAGTTTACGAGCACATATACAGTACCGCGTAGCATTGCCTACCGTCAACACAACACGGCTTTATTAAACGTCGCAACGTCAACACCAACCTTCTAGAGCTAAGTAACTATATAACATACACATACAACAACAAGATTTACACAGATTTTGAGAATGGCATTCGACCGGGTACATTATGGAATCCTTATTGCAAAACTAAATGCCGTGGGAATAAAAGATAACCTCTTGCGATGGCTCGAATCCTATTTGAGAAATAGGCGTCAGGCGGTAGTGATGGGCGGTTATAGATCGGACTATGTAGATGTCACCTCGGGGGTGCCTCACGGATCGTTGTTATCGCATTTATTATATAAGATTTTATCCGCTGAACGTGTCAGGCGGTCTACTCACCGGCTTACCCAGCGGAGATATACACGAGATTACCTCAGGGCGCCTTGTCGACAACAGAAGGGTATGGATATGTGTGCGTGTGGGCAACCTAAGGGACTCTTCAGAGAAACACAACTTACGCCTCAGTCATACATACATGTATATTTCATTCCAAATACAGAGTTAAAATTGAATAAATATAAATAGTGGGTATATAAAAAAAGATCCCGCAGCGGTGCGCGTCAAGGCCGAGCTGGTGTTGATAGGAGCCTCTTCGTCTGCAATCCTGGAGGTTATTTCCACACCAGCCCGAGTCGGCTATTTATATTAGGTATATAGGTAGGTTAGGTATTTATTTTAGTTACATTAACAAAAATTACGTAACCCTTGAATGAGGCTGACCGCTTGCTTGTGAGCCGCGTGACTGCCAGTAATCAGATGAAACTTAGGAGCTCATTTACGCACAAGAAGGCCACAAACAAAAGAGCACGCCGTCTGAGAAGTATCTCTTGACCCGAAATCTGGAGCCCTACGAATGGATTAACACTCATATAATCGTTCAGATTGCAAAAACAAATGACTACAAGAAAAATAAGATTAACTTACCACTGAAGTGGGTACTTAGGACACAGAATTTACTAAAAATGAATAAACAGACAATCAAAATGCTACTTCAGATCGGAAGACTAGAATCACCAGAGTGTCCCTTGCGGCTGGAGGCCGGACTTATATATGCTTGGTTTGTGAAATTTCTAGAAAGAATCCCTTCTTTTTTTAATCATGAATGGGAGCCCAATCGAATTCAAATTATCATTGAGGTTAACACGACTCAATTCAACAGTAACCCGCTTCCTACCATAACAGGACACTTTTAACACCAATACAATTTAATAGGATAAATTATTACTACGACTTACCAAAAAAAACCACGCCATCTAGTGGTCCGATGGCGGACGAAGAGACATCAATACTATAGTTCCAATCTACTTCGGATAAATCAATAAATGCGACGCGGGGCGACAGGTGTCACTGTTTACAACTCCGTACGCAATACAAATATAATGGATCAATAACTGTTATAATATATATCTTTATGATTTACCAGATTGCCTACATCATTCAAAACATCTTTTATATGCAGATGACAAATTTTTTTTTCGCAAAATCAATAAACACGACGATTGCTTACTCCTTCAATCTGACCTAGACCGACTAACAGACTATTACCAACTCAATAAAATAAGTGTTAACGCTCAAAAATGCCAAATAATTAGCTTTACTCGGAAAAAACACCTTATCAGCTATGACTATAGCATAAGCTATGAGTCTATTCCCAGAACATCACAGATAAGGGACTTAGGTGTTATTTTAGACAGTAAGTTTACATTTAAAGTACACGTTGATCAAGTAATCAGTAAGGCCTATAAATCACTCGGGTTTGTCATACGCAATAGTAAACCGTTTAAAGACCTACACTGTCTTAAGGTTCTTTATTACAGCTATGTTCGAAGTGTCTTGGAATTTGCAAGTATCACCTGGAGACCATTTATAAAAACTCAAATAGGTTTAATTGAGAGAATACAACAGAAATTCATGAAACACTTAAACTATAAAGCCCAAGTAAAAAACATGACATATGAGCAATCATGTCAATATTACAAAATAAATACACTGGAAGATCGACGCCAAATCGCAGACATGATGTTCTTGTACGACGTCCTCAACAATAAATTTGACTGCAACACATTTATAGAGCAAATTAATTTTGGTGTTCCTTCGTGCTGTACCCGACATACACCATTACTCGCAACCCCATATGTAACAACCAACTACATCAAAATGTCACCATTCATCCGTATTCCACATATATACAATATCAGCTTCTCATCACTGGATCCATTTAACACTCCCCAAAATTCGTACAAAAATAAAATTATTCACATTTTGTCCCAAGTATAAGAATTGCCACAAAAACATACCAACACTATTATTATGTAAACTATATACTGTCAGCTGTGAATAACCTAAGTATTAAATAAATAAATAAATCAATCTGACTGATAGATCCCAGGTTGTCAAAGTGGCAAATCACGTAAGTGAGGAGTCCACCTGCAATTACGGTATTCCGCAAGGTAGTACGCTTGGCCCATGTCTCTTCCTCATCTATGTGAATGACTTGTGCAGCACTGCCTTACCAGGATTGGATATGATAATGTTTGCTGATGACACGGTGTTGATATGCTATGCAGCTACCTGGAAGAAAGCATTTGATATGGCTGCGAGTGGATTGGCTACAGTCACTTCTTGGTTGGAAAACAGTCTCCTGTCGTTAAATACTAACAAGACCAAGTATGTCTGTTTTAGCATAACATCTGCTAGTAATCCTCCTCCTGAATACTGTCTCAAAATACACACCTTTCCATGTAACCGGAGTACAGATAGGCATATCTGTGACTGTGCAACACTGACGCGTGTAGCCTCCATAAAATACCTAGGTGTGACAATAGATGATCAACTGAAATGGAACCTCCACCTCACGTCAACAACTTCGAGGGTTAGACGTCTTATACATATATTTAAGAGCCTGCGCGTAATAGCTGACGTCCCACTTCACATACAATCTTATAGAGCGCTATGCGAATGCCTTATAAGGTACTGCATATGCGCCTGGGGTGCCGCCGCTAAAACCTTTATGATTAATGTAGAACGCGCCTAGCGCGCTGTTTTAAAAGTTCTTCTATACCTACCATTTAGATATCC